TCTTCTTTTTTTCTTTCTCGTATCTCTATAGGTTGAACTCAGTGTCTTTTTTCAACCTGACTAACTATGTAATTATGACCACTAGATGGAGCCGAGGAGCATAGGCAATTTCTGTCCCAACTGTCCCTTATTTGGAAGAAATGTCCCTTTTTTGGAACAAAACCTATGTGTTCCTCTTTGCTCCTCAGTTGTCACTCTTTTTGATCTGATGTGCAGAACTAGAACACGGTTAACAAGGAAGGTTAATAAAACAGACCTTTACTCAAAAATGAATTCACATCTAATTACATTGCATGGAGGGAAGCTAGGTAGAATTTTTAACCAAATTAAAAATGATTTATAGATAGAAGCAACCATTTTTTTTTTCAAGTTATTCTATGTAAATGGAAACATAACAAATAATGAAAAAACAGCTAAGGGTCAAGTAGGCACTGAGATAATATTATGATCCTTGGTGTGGTGGGAGCCCCTGAGCTTGGTGTTTAATATAAAAATATAAATTTCCATCTCTAGAACTCTGTTCACCTCCCCTGCAATACACTTGACACATCTCTGTAGGTCAGAAAGGCACAGCACACACTGCGTTCAGGGAGGCAGGTGGGGGGAGAATGCCAAACACATCCTTTGCATATTCAGGGGCTCTTGGTAGATATTTCCTAGTGCCTGCCTTTAAAGGCTTAAGTCAGAGTGTATTAGAGAAGGGATAGGTTTGCTTTAAACCAACTTTGTTGCTTGAAAAAAATTCTCAAAACAATTGCCTGCAAAAGAAGACTCTTAATATTAACTGTCAAATAGGCTCTGAAATATTAGAATGCTCCTTAGTGCTGTGGGAACCCCTGGCCCTTTGGGGAGTAGAAGGGATAGATTTAATTTATTGCAAGTTTATTACTTGAAAAAAGGAGATTCTCAATACTTATCACTCTGGCAGGTGGCGAGACCTCACTTTGTCACTTTGTGCTTGAGTTATGACCTCAAGCACAACCCTTAGCACCCAACCCTTCTGGGTGAGTCAGACACCTGTGCCCCTGCTGCACATGTGGTTTATGCCGCTAGCTCCCATGTCAATGTTGTGTCCTATGGTGATGTAGACAATGAAGAACAGGAAAAGTCACTGGCACCCCAATTGTGATGTAGACACGTCTTTTAGTAATTCATGTTCTCATAGTCACAAAGCAAACAGCTGATACCCGTTTGCCTGATGAAGGGACCCTATTCTGTCCCGAAACACTGTTTTGTTTGTGATTATTTGAACTTGCTTCAATAATAGACTTTCCTGCTCTACAATTGGAGTGCCGGTGACTTTTCCGGTTCTTCATTGTTTGCAAACACGGTGCCAACCGCTGTGACTCCAGCACCACCAAGGACTTATTTGGGGTTTTCAAATGGTCAGGAGTGTGATGGGATATGTGCTATGGTGATGTAGGGACCGGTAGATGGAACCACAGTACGCAACAGAGGACCAGGCGTCTAAGAAGTGTTGGATGCTGAAGGTTTGCTGGAGGCTGTAGCGCTTGAAGAGAGTAAAATATACACTTACCCCCTTTCTTGTAGAGGTAAGTATTGCGTGCCTTCTCTTGAGGCTACTATTTAAAAATGTTTTTTTCTAGTGCGTTAAGTCACTTTAAGGTACCCAAAAATCTGAATGTTATATACAGTAGATATTGTTTTAAATTGAAGAGTTATTGAAATCATGAAATTAAAAGTTCAGGTATAAACAAATGTACCGCCACCCCACCCAATTAAATACCTTCTCTATTCCTCCTTCATTCTCCAGTGCTAAGCAGTGTTCAAATCTTGTGGCCGTCCCGAGAAAAGTCCCAGCCATACAAAATACTTGCTATCATGGGCCCAGCTGCTGATACTTGGACAAGGATTTTCTATGCATTCAAAGCATTTTCATATACACAGGGTATGCCACAAGTTACTTAAAACAGATATGCACACTGTTCGGTCCTGGGCAGGCTGCAGCACGTGGTACATTTGACTGCTGGTGGGGGTCTGTGATTTCATTTATTCTGGTTATTTGGGGGTTACCGGATTTCCTTTAAAAGTTAATTTATCTATTTAATAGTTCATTATTTTACCTTTGCAATAAGAGAACAGCTTATTTGCAGTTTATAGTCTAACACCCTTCAAACTACTGTGTGCACTCCCCCTTTACTACATACTGATAGCACAACATACATGACAGGTGAAGCTCCTATTGCATTATGACAGCACAGCTTATTTTTCCTATAATAGAATATCTGAGCTAAGACATGCTGAGAATAAGTGGCCACACAAGTCCTGATGCTTTGTTTCTTTCATATGTGATTGTAGGAACCATAAAATCATAAAACCATTATGGGGCCAGTAAACATGATATGACATTTCCATGTTGTGGCTGAATTTATGCATGGTACCGGGTCAATCTTCTTCGGTGTTTCCGTTTATGGTACCGCTGACCATTCCTGGTGCCTGGGAACGATTACAGTATGTGTACATATCCAACCATGCTCATAGGTCTAGGGTCACCATAGTGTTTTCTAAAGAATACATTTTCATTATTTTCTGAAACTGTAACAGTGTTATATTTTGAGAGCAATTTAGATGTAGATTGTGTATATTTGAGCTACATTTTTAACTGTATCAAAAAGGTTAACCAAATATATAATCATTTATAAATATACTCTGACTACCATGTTTTAAAGCTCAGTTTTGCTATTCTGCAACTGGCCTTTTAATAACTAATCAATTATATATA